TGTTGTAGAGAGATGGAATTTGGCAACGAGTTCTGAAAAGTGTGGCGCTTTATAAAGTGGTTGGAGTGGCGAAGTTTTAATGACGACGGGGCGGGTAGCAGGTAGGTCATGCTCGATGTTGGTGTCGCGTGGCCATGTAACGAAACGTACCTTGTTGAATTCGGCTGGGTGTGTAACAAGGTTGCTCGACTCCATACTCAATGCGTGGAGGCTGCAAGTTTCACGTCGTAGGAAACCTCTGTGCTATTTTATCTTGGATAGGCTCAATGGCCCATGATACAGTTTGTTACTGCGTACAGAGCACATCCTTTCATGGGACTTTTAAATGGCTACCCTACTTTCTGCAATGTAGTCAGTCGTCAGGGTTGGGGTTAGCGTATCAGTGTGATACCCGCCCCGCGTTGAACCCCTCCAAAGTGACTCAAAAAATCACCCTCTGGGCCATAATTTTGGAGTTGCTGTCTTCCAGCGCGACAACCACCAAACAGGCCAATTCCTTGCCATTGAGCCTGCTAACACCATGTCGGACCCTTCAGCCCCATCCCCTCCCACCGAGGAGGTCGCGAACCTTCACCTCGACGAGGTTACTGGCGAGCGCGTGAGTCCGAAGCGAACGACTACCTCCCTCAATACCTCGCAACTGATTAGATTGTCCGCAGGTCTCCAAGACGGAACTCAAGAAGCGCATGAAGGCGCGTGAGAATGAGAAGAAGAAGGCTGCTAAGGCTGCCGCTGCTCCTCCCAAGGCTCAGACCAAGCCCAAGGCTGCTAAGGAGGAGGAGCTCAACCCCAACCAGTACTACGAGATCCGGTCTCGGCAGATCAAGGCCCTTCTCGAGTCGAGCGATCCCAACGACAACCCATACCCTCACAAGTTCCAAGCCGACTATGACCACTCCAAGTTCTTCGAGGAGTTCAACCACCTCAAGTCGGGAGAGTCCGACAAGTCTAAGAAGATCACCGTGGCTGGTCGCATCTATGGTATCCGCAGCTCCAGCAGCAAGCTCATCTTCTACGATATCCGCACTTCTGCCGACACCCGCCACATTGGACAACACATCCAGATTGTTTGCCAAGCACAAGAGGCCGCAGAGGGTGGCGTTCCATTCGAGAAGCAGCATGAGGTTCTGAGACGTGGTGACGTTATTGGTATCACCGGTTACCCTGGGCGAACAGCTCCCAAGAAGCAGCTCGAGCAGGGCAAGCAGGGAGAGCTCAGTATCTTTGCCACTGAGTATGAACCCTGGTGGAATGCAACATGGAACCAGGCTAACTATGTTACAGGGTCAAGCTGCTGGCTCCTTGTCTTCACATGCTCCCCACCGAGCACTACGGCTTCAAGGATCACGACACCAGGTTCCGCATGCGCTACCTCGATCTCTTGTTCAACGATTCGTCTCGTGAGGTCCTGTGGAAGCGCTCCAAGATGATCAGGTACATCCGTGACTTCTTCAACGACCGGAACTTCATGGAGGTGGAGACACCCATGATGACTGCCATTCCCGGTGGTGCCACAGCTCTCCCCTTTATCACTCACCACAACGACTTGGACATAGACATGTACATGCGTATTGCTCCCGAGCTGTTCCTCAAGATGTTGGTTGTTGGTCAATTCGAGAAGGTCTTCGAGCTTGGCAAGAACTTCCGTAACGAGGGCATCGATCTCACACACAACCCAGAGTTCACATCCTGTGAGTTTTACGCCGCTTACTGGGATGTCTACGATGTCATGAACATCACCGAGGAGCTGGTCTCCGGCATCGTCAAGCACCTTACCGGCGGCTACAAGACCAAGTTCACCAACCAGCACGGCGAGACATACGACGTGAACTGGGAGGCCCCTTGGCGCCGCATTGAGATGATTCCTGAGCTGGAGCGCATCTCTGGCGAGAAGTTCCCCCCTTACGACGAGATGCACACCGAGGAGACCGGCGAGTTCCTCAAGAAGATCCTGAAGAAGATGAACGTCGAGTGCCCACCGCCTCTTACCAACGCCCGTATGCTGGATCGTCTCGTCGGTGAGTTCATCGAGGAGCAGTGCATCAACCCTACCTTCATCATGGAGCACCCCCAGATGATGTCCCCTCTTGCCAAGTACCACAGGTCCAAGAAGGGTCTGTGCGAGCGTTTCGAGGCGTTTGTGTGCAAGAAGGAGATTGCCAACGCTTACACCGAGTTGAACAACCCCTTCGACCAACGGTTGCGGTTCGAGGAGCAGGCCCGTCAGAAGGCCCAGGGTGATGACGAGGCCCAGATGGTGGACGAGAACTTCCTCACGTCGCTAGAGTACAGCTTGCCGCCCACCGGTGGCTGGGGTCTCGGTATCGACCGTCTGGTCATGTTCTTGACCGACAAGTACAGTATTCGCGAGGTGCAGACCTTCCCCTTCATGAAGAACGACGACTCTGGAAGGAAGGACAAGTTTGCTGCCGAGGTTGTCGATGTCCAGCCTCTGCCAGAGGAGGGTATCCGTAAGTTCTACCTCGCTGCTACATCTATTCGAACATACGCTAACTCTCAACTAGCCCACAAATAGATGATCTATGACCGTGGTCCATTGCCGTCGGGAACACCCATGCGCTGCCTCATGGTGTGCTGGTGATAGATATCACATGGCTTGCTCTGGCCTGGCATGGAGAGGTTGTCCGAAGGAATTTGAAGATCTCCCTGCCGCCTGCCTGTGGAAGTTAGTGAGAGTATCTATGACAACAAAATGAACAAATTTCACAGCCCATTAGTGTCCCATAATCCTGCTCCATGATAATCTTCTCCTCAGCGTAATCTACGGCGAGAACTGCCCTGTTATGCGTGCCTGACGCCTATCTTACAGTTAAGGGGTTGTGGGCATATCGGGGATCTCGCTTTTGTGACTTTGGAAACCCCAAGAACGAAATCGGCAAGTAATATCGTATAAGATTCGAATATGTCGCGCTGTTACAGTTGTCTTATGTCTGTGGTGTCATCATAGTAGTCAGCCTGACGACTATAAGTACTTAACTGAAAGACTGTCTGAGCCGTAAGTAAATTCAAGGGTAGTAGTGGAAGGGGAGAAAGCAGCCCATTGCTTTGAATCCGACCCGTTCTAGTAGGGGTGCATGCTGTAGATCTATGACAGACATACAAATACAATGATAATACACGCATCTTACAGTTACATGCTCCTGATCTTGTGCAACTCCGCCCAGGCCAGTGGTGACTCGGACATACGGTACCTCTCATGGTCAGGGCCACTTGCACCATGTTCATACCGTTCACTGCTTCTTGGCAGCAGCCAGGCGTTGCTTAATCAACGCCAATGTCTTGGGCGGTACCCGCAGCCTTGAGCCGAGAACCAGCGCACCGGTAAGCAAGGCCAAAGCACCGGCTTGGTGCGTGGCAGCCAAGTGAGTAGGGACCATGTAGATGAGCGTGCTGATGCCCAAGGCCGCCTGGAGGGAGACGAGGTGGACCATTCCCATGACTCCTTTCCTCACATCCTTCGGCATAGCAGCCGCAACTCTTCCCCTCCGCGCGTAAGCAAAGAGCGCCAGGACTGCAAAGAACGTCGTAGTAGCCAGTATGCGGTGATCCAGTTGAACAAGTGAGGGGTTCTCGAGCATGTTCCTCCACCAGATGTCAGATCCGTCCTCACGGCGAGAGTAGAACTTATCGAAGAGCTCTGTCTTGGGCGGTGTGAGGCCGTTACCCATCATCGGGAACTCGTTGTAGATCAATCCTGCGTCCAAGCCTGCAACCAGACCGCCGGACATGGCAGTGACGAAGACCAGAGCCGTAAGAGCAGCGACGTAGCGGCGGAGTGGTTTCAGGGCTGGAGACTGGAGGGCCGAGAGCACTGAGTGACCAGCTTGCGGGTCCTTCAGCAGTCTGTTCTGCTTTAAGATCGACAGACCAGCGAGAAGCATCGAGGAGTAGCAGATAAAGGCAGCGCCCAAGTGAGCCGTCAACCGGTACTGACTAACCCTGGGATGGCTCCCCGGCGCAAACAGGTCGTCTTTCAAGCCAGACTTGACCATCCACCACCCGATCACGCCTTGAAATCCGATGAGACCACTTATTCCAACCAGACCCAACGCCATTCGCTTGGTAACCCTCCGACGGGCGATGAAGTAAATGGTAGGAAGTACGAAAGACATGCCGATGAAGCGGCCCCAGAGCCGATGGGTCCATTCCATGAAGTAGATCTTCTTGAATTCTGGAAGCGTCATGTGTGGGTTGAGAAGCTTGAATTCCGGAGATGCGCGGTACTTGTCGAATTCAGATTGCCAGTCGGCGTCGGAGAGAGGAGGCAGGGAGCCGGTTACAGGTCGCCATTCTGTTATGGAAAGGCTGCGCGGCGCAATATGTCAGTTACTGGTCACTGGAGACACTGCAACTAGCAGAGACTTACCCAGACTCGGTCAACCGTGTGAGACCGCCAAACACAACAATACCAAACACACTAGCTGCACTGGCGAGGAGGAAGTACCCCACAGACTTGGAACTGGTCTCGGGGAAGGATGAGCTCTTTATGGAGGAAGAAGCCCTCGCCTGAGCGTCGTCTGCTAAGGCCTCGATAGGACCGGGCTTGGAGATGGTAGACTCATATCTCCGCGGCACGGCACGCACGGCTCGGAGAATGGGCGACTGTCCCCGGGGCAGTGGTGATCGCAAGGGAGCAGCGATTTTGCTCTGCTGTCGGATGCATTGTCGACAAACGAATGGCGATCGAGATACCTGGGCTACAACCCTCCGTACCCCAAGTGATAGAGATGCCATATTGGTGGTTTGCAGCACGCAATGGGAACAGTCTGCAGGATCGCAAACCTTGAGGCTCGAATAATCAGCAAGCTCCGATCAGCCCATCTCGAGGCCGGATCGTGCCGATCGGGACCTTGCCCGGCCAAGACCCTCCACTGCTTAGTCATACAATGACATTCTCGGGCTTGCTGATTCGTCCGAACCGACGGCCATTTTTGGTTTTGTTTTACAACACTCTATGAATCCTGATTGTAGCATCAAACGGCCTCGTGGCGCAATGGTAGCGCGTTGCTTTCCGGTGGCAGAGGTTCCAGGTTCGAGCCCTGGCGGGGTCGATTGCAATGGCTTCAGTTACTTTCGAGTGACTGGAGTTACTTTTGTAAGAACTTACAGTTAACCGTAACCTTTTGTTTATTTCGTCTCTCTACTACCCACTCCAGCCGTGGACATCAATCGGTTTATCAGCGTCAAAATTGCTATGCATCTGCATGCTGTAAGCTGTAACCGGCCAGTATGGTAGGTTAAGGGACATATATGCCTTACCGATACTGGTCTCATGGTCGACGTTGGCTTTCTGCCTCATGCCCGTTAATTGCTATTCGAAGCCATATCCGTGAGGTAAGAAAGACGCCAGGCTTATAGCAGAACATGAAGAAGATATCCCACTACTGTCCTTGTTTCCCACGCACCTCCTTACGATATATACATCACGACAGTGATCTCGCAGAATAACAAGGCCTTTTAGGGGGGGGGGGGGGAAACAGCAAAAGAAACGTACAACACCAGGGATTCCCCGGTGGTCACCCACCCGAGTACTAGTCTGGCGATCACAGGCTTATCGATGGGAGAGCGGACGGGATCCCGAGTTTTCCTATGTCTATGGTCGTACGTGACAGATCATGTCACTGGCGGACTTGTATAGCGCGATTCACCGGTTGAACAGCGGCTTCTGGACGTTCTTGTTCCGACAGCGAGTCTCCAGGGACCCGGTCGACGTTGGCTTTCTGCTTCATGGCTGTTCTCAACAGTCATGTCTGTTTGGTGCCAGCTGGAACACCTGCCTGATGGACCGCTTTACCATCGTGCAGCGTTTCAAACTTGCAGAATGGAGGGCTGATGCCGGATGCTGGTGACCATGAAGGACATCAAAGCCTTTGAGCTCGTGAAGTCAGCATTGGTCATTCTCCTATCGCATAGTTCACCCTATAATTTCTACTATGGAGCACAGCTCGGGGTCTTCTATCTCTGCTTTCCCTGTAGTAGACTTTCTGCTAGAAAGGGTCCTCCTGGTGTTACGGAAACTCTTCACACTATTCGCCATGATTAGCTGGCTCTCAGCACATGCTGAAATCAACTCCTGCCATGGCAATATCCTGCTGAACCTCCTGTTGATGAAGCGAAGTTGTAAAGCTGATCCTTCCGGGATCACTAAGCTACTGGAATGTTTTTCTTCCGTCACTAATTGTTTAGGGACGGAGAAGGCTCGCTTCAGTTGAGCCCACTGGGTGACTCGGTCGGGGAGGTGGTCTCAGGAACAGGATGCGCACGTATGGGCCCTTCAGATTGGGTTATGACAATAGTCTGTAGTAAGTCGGCCTCCTTCGAGGAAAACAGTCGGTAAAGGGTGCAACCCAGGTCTACGTCCGCATTGGACCTGTCAGCGTAGGACAAACGAGCATGAGAAGCCCTTATCTTCGAGGCGTGGCATGGAGTGATCTCTCTCACGAAGCTGTATATTGGGGATCCGACTGTCCAGATTACATCGTCACCAGCAGCTGTGATAATACCAGAGAGCTCGTGCTCCAAGTGAAATGGCACTGTCGCACGGCGCCTGGAGTATGGCTCGTGTTGAATCACTGACCTATTATAGGTCGAGTGGGAGGGACCAGACACAGGAAGGCAATAGTCCGCCGGAGATAGGTGACTTGATGACTGAAAGTGCGAAAAGCAAGTTACATCTAATGATGACGCCTCTCGTCGTTCCCGTGATACCTCTGTCAATACTCTTCATGCGTTGGCGTCCGTCGAGGTTCACCAGAGCAGAGGAGTGGTGGCTGAATCTGGGAGGAAAGCTGAGCCTCCCCGTGGGGGTAGATGATGCAGACCAGTAGGGAAGTAGTTGGTACATCAGCTTGAGTCTGACTGCATTTGTCTACTGGTACGATATCCCGGTAATAGCGGAAGTTGGACAGGAAGTAAATGTACACAATGTTGGCAGTCTGTTTATCTCGAGTAACAGAGGGCGCAATGCCTCCAAGTACTTAGCGATCCTTGCATCTCGAAAACTAAGCCTGGAACGTATGGCTGGGAGAGCACCTATTCGTCGTGCCGTTGTACGAGATCGTGATTGCTCAAGGCAATCGATTTATGAAGCAAGGCCTTGTGAATCGATACAGCTTTCGACTACCTTAGCATAGGATGAAGAGCAGCACATGTGATATTGTCTATTCTACCGTCCAGGCAAACTGAGCATATTTGGCTGGGAGAGATAGGTCCAGTGACATGAGGATATGGACATGAAGGGGTTCGGTTCGACGTATGCTGTGCCGTATCTGCACAATCAGGAAATAGCAAGTGAAGGGCACTGGACAAGCGCTCGTAGCCAGTCAGTGTCTGTATCACAAAAAAGAGACGCTCTGGGAAAAGTATTGGATGTGTGCCTGTGTGTTGACCATTAGGGGCCGAACTACCAGTACCGGGTAACGCTTAAACGCTCTGGAAACGGAGAAATTAATGCAGGGACTATAGTTTACACCGAGACGTCCAGCATATTTTCCATTTTTCATTTTTGGTTTTCGAGTTTCGATTTTTTTTTGGATTGGTTCGTTCAAGGGAAAAAGTGCACACCAAGAAAAGATGGTGCACGGATTCCGATGGCTACCGCAGATACCACCTAGGTACCTTTTGAGACCCCCTGGTCAGCGAGCAGGATTAATCATGACCAAATATTCTTTGAATAATCAAGAGATACTTCGAAGACTTGTTCAAAGCCCATAAATGCCATTTCTTCAATCTTTCGGCGGGTATCCCGGTCACGAGAGGCCGAATCTGGACATTGACATTGATGTCACAGCCCCCTCCCCCCAACGCATCCCGCAGCGGCTTCCCCGCTACCCTCCCGCTATCAACAGGTGGTGGCGTTGGCTCACCGCTGAAGATTAGTCTACAGCATCGCGCCATCTTGTTCGTTGGACTTGCATAACACACGGGTCATGTTGCGCTCCCGTGACAGCTATCGGGGCAATTACCTGCCAGCGCATACCGTGCCCTCCTTGACACCGTTGACCAGGTGAGGTGAGTAGATGCGCAGATTGTACCGTTATCATTGGCATGACAGGAGACTAGACTTTGCAACATGGCCTAACCGAGAATTCAGAAGTCTCGTGGAAGGCTAGTACGGACCAGTCAATACCGGCGTATGCTGCCTTGATTGACTGCTGTTGGTCCGAACCACCTAGCCATCTGCTTAAAGCCTGGTCAGAGGTGACAAGATTCCCTCCCAAGTCCAACGCGGCAGTTCTAGACAGGCAAGGACCCCATGGTCGATCGATGGAGGACCGAGGCGAGAGTGAATGAGTCACAGCTTCTGTGAGAGAAATGCCACGTCCTGTTCGAACTCTTGGAAGATATGGCAAAGTCATCAGTTCAGTGTTTCCGCCAGATGTGCGGTTGTACTATGCGGAGTACGGGTTTGTCATTCTAGGGGCCGTCCCGCTCACCGAAAAAGTCACGGTGAGCTCCACCTTCTGTAATCGGTGGGCACGCCAAGCATCATGAGCCATCGTGAGCCAGAACGTCATTGTTCGGGCGAGGATGACTCATCCAAAAACACCACGGTCAAACATTGCCACAGCTTCCATTTCTATCACAGGCTCACATATATGAAAGGAGTGAATGTTTCCGGGTTGTGTGTTTAAAAGTAACCCTCGGCGATTCTTTTGAAGTCTTTCGGCCATAGTTTCTGGCCACGGAGCGATTCATTGTTTGCCCACATCCTTCGCTCATTCTTCCTTAACGCTCATTTACCACTTGCAATATACTGAGCATAGACCGGAGAAAGTCGCACTACAATGATTTCTACTCGGCCGCACGACGAAGTTGGTGCAAGGCGGGACAAGCAGGCTGTGCATCGGGCGCTGCCGACAAGGGTCGTACCGAAGCCGGTTGCTCAGAGTGAAGTAAAGGACCCCCGCGAATATCAACTCGGACAAATACGCCGCAGATATTCGCCCAGGGAATCAAAAGTAGACGGAGACACATCTTTGGTGTTTAAGCTTGTGCCGTCAGATCCCGATTTCCCCTTCGAACTGGAATTCCTGGAATGCGACCTGCGTGTTCCTCGAGACTATCCCAACAAGCAACCAAAGCTTTTGGTGAAGAATAAGGACATACCTCGAGGTTTTGCCATCAATATAGAGCGAGGATGGGACAAACTCCGTGCGGATCGACCAAATGCAACGTTACTGGCGACGGCAAATGCTCTCGATAAGAAACTGGAGACTCTCTTGTCAGAGCAGAAAACTGAAACGGTCAAACTCACCATCTTCAAAGATACAAGACATGAAGAGGCCAAATCTACGACAGGTGGTCCGGTTCAACCACCTCCTCAGCCAGCCAAGCCAGCCCCGGAACCAAGACGCTATGTTTCGGAGACCGCTTATACACGTGAGCAGGTTGCAGAAGCGAAGGCAAGACGCGCACAGGAGATCCGACAACTGGAAGCCAGAATGAGCCGGGTCGGCCTTTTCCAAAAGTCTAGTGACGGCATCATATACACTCTACCGTTAGAGGTCAAGCGACGAGATGCTCTGCCAGCTGGACTCCAAGGTGTGAAGTCGTGTCAGCTGATCATCCCGCTGCTATATCCGCTGCAGTCACTCAGAGTGATTCTCAATGACGTGGAGTCCTCCGACGCAGAAGGCGTCGAAGAACTCTTCACAGAGAAGGCGGCTGAGCAGAGACAGATGAGCCTCATGTCTCACCTTAATTATCTTGCCTCAAGCCTTCACATTCTGGCCAAACAGGCGGCGACTCGTGCAAATAAAAGCGTTACGCATGAGGTGCTGCCTCCAAGCGAGGATAGTGCTGATGTCCAAGCGAAGGGGGCCGAGCATATAGCTCAAGCCCAAGAGAAAGGGCATGTTCATGTCATTCCGCGACCGCGTCCGCCTGAGTGGCAGGACGACCATGACGACGGAACGGACGATTCAGAAGAGGATTATTCGGAAGACACGGGAGACGAGGGTGGTGCCGATTTGAGCCAGGGACGGCAGGCTCAGGAACCTACTACAACAACCGGTCCAGTCATTGAACGAGGCATAGCTGTCATGTTTCC